CAAATTCATTTATTAAGCTCACATATTATGTGGTGTGTGAATTTATGCAGGGCCTGTTGGTGAAGATATGTTCCATTGGCAAGCTACAATTATGGGCCCTTCAGACAGCCCGTTTTCCGGGGGTTTGTTTCTTGTCACTATTCATTTCCCTCCCGATTACCCGTTCAAACCACCAAAGGTAACTCATCGGTAACTTTTATATGGTCCTGTAGTAAAATTAGTAATACTAGAATATTTACTTAACCAGGGAGTTAATTGCGATTTTCTCGTTAGTTACTTGTCACTGCAAAACTTGTGAAAGCCCATGATTTTGATAACTTTTTTGGGTTAATAGGATTAATTTTTATGTCTGCTTTTGTTCTGAGCAGGTCTCCTTCAAAACTAAGGTTTACCATCCGAATATCAACAGCAATGGTAGCATTTGCTTGGATATCCTCAAAGAGCAGTGGAGCCCTGCCCTTACCATATCCAAGGTATTAACAATTATTTTATTTTAATTTTTAATTTGATATCTTCACGATCAGTGCATGTTGAAAATATTAGTAGCGTGTTGTAAAACAAAATTGATAGACAAGGAGTTTTGTACATCTTATATTTCCCAAGTTGTTACGAAATTTGTGGTNCAAATCAAAGTCAGAATTTTAATTTTAATTGTTTCTATGGACAAATCTTTTTCCGAACAAATGTTCAATGATTATTTGATCGGGTACATATAGGTTTCTATATTGCAGATTCCACCCTCAAGAAGAGGGATAACATCAGTAAGCTAGTTAATATTCTATAGCTGTGGCAGTGGCTGGCTGGACACAAACTTAACATAAGAAAAAACGCGATATATAAATTTTGGTTCAATTTCAACGCATTATCATCGTATGTATGTAATAATATTGGTAAAGAGCCTTATTATTTTGTAATAGATGAAATATAACCACTTTTTGCCAAAGTATGAAATATAGCCATTTTGCACTGTGAAATTAAACAATGACTATATTTCATTGAAATCAACATTGTGTCTATATTTTGGAAAGTAATAAATAAATAAAAAAAAAAAAGTGGGATCTTATTGTATTTATGATAAAAAAGACGAAAACTCGATAGTAAAACACGATCACAATACGATATCACGATTTAATGGTATTTTTTTTTTTGTTTTTCAGGTTCTGCTTTCTATCTGCTCGTTATTGACCGACCCAAACCCAGATGATCCTTTAGTGCCCGAGATTGCTCACACATACAAAGCTGATCGAGCCAAGTATGAAACGACTGCCCGTGCTTGGACTCAGAAATATGCTATGGGCTAAAGAAAGATCTCGGTTAGCTTGTCCGGGACGAATTTTCGGCAATTTCTATTCTACTGGCTATAATAAAAATGAATTAGGAAAAGAAAAAAAAAATGAATTATCATTAAATGCTATCTGGAAATTTTCTGGCCAGTTTATTTATCATGTGTCGTGGTCATTGGAAGCTTTGGACAGGTTTTATTGCGTTGAACTATAAATTAATATGTTCTTTATCTTTTATGATTTAGACTTGTCTATAGTTTTTTTAATTTATTGCGGGAATTTATTGATGGTGACCCACTTCATCAGCTATATATATATATATATATATAATTATTTTGCTATTATTAATATTTATTTGATATTATTTGTAGTGGTGTGGTTCATATCTTAGGATCTATTCAATTTTGTCAGTATTTTATTTCATTTTATTATTACGTGGTTATTTTATTATTATTTTGTTTTTTAGAAATTTAATCTTATGTTAAAACCGAAATATGAAAACTATGTCTTGGTTTGGTGTCTTTTGTTAAGCGAAATGAATTGCTTTTGAGCTCAATTTGTTAGAGATTGTTAGGCTTGATAAATAGGGTTATTTACGTAATTTTCTTGAGCTGAGTTGATAAGGGCTCGAGTATCAGGAGGTGAGCTCGGCTCGTTTCGGACTATATCTTATGATTATTGATTCATTCATTTTGAAATCGCCTGACTAATTTTATAGTGTTGTTATGCAAGTATAACCACATTATGTACGTTTAATTTTTAAAAGTTATTATTTCTTATAAGTTGTTATTTTTTTTAATAAATAATATACATAAATGTATAACATTTTACAATGTAAATGTATATATTTTTGCTTACAGATCATGACATTATGTCTGAGCATCTACTTTGTCTAACAACATTTTTTATTGAAATTTACGTGGCAACTAAATTTATTTCCTTTTAAGTTTAGAACTGTAAATTTGTGATGGAGTTCACTGAAGTAACTGGAGGTTTTTCATTTGGGCCTTCTGGTAATTTGTGGGCTTATCTGCGTGGAATTGGGAAAATGGGTACAACGAAAAACCCAATGTGACCGAATGAAGACCCGACTAGTCAGGCTACCGACCCGAGGTGGCATCGATAATAGGATCACAAAAAATTCTATTCTGCAATTATTTTGTACTCATTGCTTCATTATGAGTACTCTTTGTACAGTTTCCATTTAATGTTCTTCTAAGGAGGACCCATAAATATATCTTCAGTGCATTTATAATCTTATTATATTACTATTGTACTATTTTATTTCATAATTATTTCCGGGTTCACCCAAATAATATAAGGTTAAAAGTATTCCAATTTTAAAATTTTCTCACGTGATGTTTTAAATTTCCATAAATTGCCCCCAAACCAAATGAAATTGACAATGGCAAATGAATATTAAAACCCCTTAAATGGCACAAAATGTTTTAGTTCAATTAACAATGAATTTTACTCTATTGATATTAAAATCCTTAAATGACACGAAATATTTTATTTTTACTCAAATAGCGATGAATTACAGGTCACTTTAAAATTGATTTTGAGCTTTTAAAGTCCATAAAGAGAAACAAAATTACTACAACCTATTGATTTCTGATAATTTGATTCGCTAGTAGTCGGTTAATGAAGTAGAGAGAAACACTTCTGTATAAACAATTTTATTTTTTTCAAAATAATTAAGATATCCAATTATCAAACAAAAATTGTTGCTTGAAAATGGGACTATTCTCAAGTTTATGAGAATCCCAAATATATATTTTGGTTAGTAGCCCCAACAAAAGCTAGGTACTTATCAAATTATTTAACTACTAAACAAAAATAGTTTCATCACAAAGATAAATCAATCAATTTTATTTTGAAGTTAACACAAAAGATGTGATTGCTCAACCGAATATCATCCTCCTCCTACAACCTCACATGCAATAGCTCATGCTATAGTCCACTAGTTTTTATTTTATTTTATTTTATTTTAATTTTTTTTTCACCTTTTGACTATGCACAACAAAATATTTTCCATGCATGGCTACAAGATTTTGCAGTGTGGCCCACCCTGTCCCTCGATAGGTCGTTTTCCTTTTGATTCAATATTAAGCAAAAAATACAAATGAAAAAATATTCGAAAATCGAAGCTCTTTTGTTATGATCTTAAAGATTTTGTGTGGTGTCCCCACAAATTTACCGGTACATGGCACGTTGTCCAACATTTTTTGCATTCAACTTTTGAACTTACTGAAGTAAAAATTTGGTCTATAGGCTAAGTTTTACTTATTTGGGTAAAATGTGTGAAATTGTAAAGGAGTCGAATCGAATTGAAGCTCTTGACACGAGTTGAGATCAATTGAGTTATTAACTCGTTAAATAATAAAGTCGATACACGAGTTTGAATTTGGTTCAGTTATCAAAATTTGCAAGTCGAACTAAAATAGTAGTTTAAAGAATTTCAAAGAAAATCCTATTTCTCGAGTCGAGTCTAAGTCTGGAACGACTTGATTTGTTCAATAGCTTTAGGAACTCTCACTTTAATAAGCAGAATTATAAAAAAAATACATAAAATTTCATACTCCCTCATATTTTTAATAAATGTCGTTTTGAAAAATTGCACAGTAATTAAGAATATTTTTTTTGTCAATAATAACCCTCATTAATGAGGATAGAGATTGATGTTTTGAGAAAATATGGAGAGTGAATATGAAAAGACGTAGTGTATTTATTAGTTAGATGAGGATAATAATGGAAAAATATGTACAAAATAGCCAAAATAACATTTATTTAACAAATGATCAATTAAGTTAGAATGATAAATAATAAAAATAGGAGGAAATATTTTTTTAGCAATGATAAACTTAATCCAATTGAGTCCACAAACAACTCATTTCATTTAATAACTTTTCGCACAGACACCACTTTTCAAGGTGGCCACAACTTTGACATGAAGGGCATTTGTTGTAATATTTAAAATTCATAAGATTGTATTTGTAATAAATGTTTTTGGCCACATTATAATTGTATTATTTTTCCCACTTTTTAAATTTAAATTTGGTTTTATGACTTGTGCTAGTATGAGGGGGACAATGGCCATGCTCTGTGTCACCATTTTCAACTATCCATGAAATGTTCTGCCCATTTTGTTCGAGTAGTATTTACAAATCTTACCTTGAAGTTTACCATGTTTGCTAAAGTAGCCCAACATATATCCAATTTGCAAAAAGCCCCTGAATATTATTTGGGTAGAGTATAAATGTATAATATAGACAGTTCATATATATAAATTGGACTTTGGGATCATGAATTCATTGAATTTTTATTTTTCTGCTTTACTGTCTCTATTGACTGCCAGATACATTTAACTTAGGTTATGGAATTTTTGTTGTCACTATAAATAAATAGTTTGTGTTTATTTTATATTTTTTCCCTTTGACATTTTAGTGGTCTCGGTGTAAATTTCATAAACTTGAAATCAGAATAGGTCAATGCAAATGAGTTAGTCAAATACACATAAAATTAAAATACTGTGATTCTCAAGTAGTGTAGATCAACAATTGGCTGTGATGCAGAAATGTGACCTAAATTTTGGTCCTCATTTAGAAAGATTTATTGAATAGGATGCGTTTTGAAATTCCCACAAATTATTTATAAATTTTAAATAAAAAGTTCTTACTCAAAAAATCCAGTGAAATCTCTCCACGAAAAATCTTTAGGCTAAATTGAAGTTTTATGGATTGAGTGAAGTACATAATAAATTTTTGAATCTGCTCATCATTTGTGATTTATATTTACCTCTGTTATGAACCTAGTGGGACCTGACCAGAATGTATATTCATCACTGTACAATGAGAAGTCATTTTCTTAGAAAAAAATCCAGAATAATATTTAACCTATTTAAAAAATGTCAGTTTTCTATGTGAATAAAGTATAACTGTTATGTACGATCAATCCATTGTAATTTTTTAACAAAAATTTATACTCACAAGTCACAATGTACTTGTGAAATGTCATACTATTATATATGTTTTGTAATATACCATTTCAATTTGAAAATTCACATATATTTTTGAAATAATTTGACGGGATGCCTAACAGCAAATTACAGTTAAAAACTATGATTGTGAGTATGTTTTATAAATTCAGTTGTAAACCTAACCGATAGCTCATAAATTAGTTGATAGTTTATAAATAAATTTTGAGATTATAGCTAATAGACTACAAGTGAAGATTCAAAATACAACTAATATAATAAAGTATTTCGCAAAATCAGCTGATATGTCACATAATAAAATATTCAATGAACTTTATAAATAATTACCTAGAAAATTTTATGGATTTTTTTAAAAAAAATATTCTATTAAATAAAACTATTTGAATATAATAAATTTATATGGTGGAAAATATAGTGTGTTGCTTAATGCTTACCATGTCTTGGAAAATATTTAATTCGTTATTAATATTGAAATTAAAGATCTCATTTTTCACTTAGTAGGAATTATGAATTGAATGTGAATATTAATGTTCAAACCCCACTAAGATAATTGAATATTAAATGCATTGACTAAGTACATAATACATTCCCCCTTCTTTTATTTAAATGGATTAAATATTAGGTTTGAATGACTATTCATTTGGCATCGCTATTAATTAGGTAAATTGAAACTGCGTTAAAATGTTGTTGAGGTTGTTGCACATTTTAAATGGTGAAATGAAGTTTATTATATTCACTACTAGTACAATTATTATAACTAATCGTGTGTATATACAAATATACAAATAAAATTTTATAAGTTATATGTTTGTATATAACATTTAAAATAATAAATTAGAAAATGAGCAAATAGTTAGATGAAAAAAATAATTACATAAAAAATATTGAAATTATTATTCTGTGTACAAATTTTATAGGGATATGGGTATACCATAAAAAATAATTAACTAATATTCATTAAAAAATAATTAATAAGCTGAAAAAAATATTATTAAATAAATAATTTGAAAAAGAAAAGTTTTACAATAAAATATGTTATATGTAAATAGTTTAATGTATGATTAAGTGTGACTTTATCATTAGCTATTAGTACCTAGTATGTAATAAAAATAATAAAATTATATATGTTTTGTTTAATACAAAATGTAATTGGGTTCTTTTCAAAATTAGCTGAAAATTAAATTGGCGGAAAACTTGGTTTTCACACTAAATGATTAACCCACAATCCCTCTTATATATAATTTTCGAATGTGCTGAGGCTAAGTGGTAGACTCGCACGCTTCGAAATCTTATGTGACAATTTTTTAAGCTTTGTTGTGTGGTTTGGATGAATTTTAATTTATTTTTAATAAAGAATGTATAAGCTTGAAATATTTATATTTATACTGGATATTTATGGTACGTCCTTTTTAAGAGTATTAATTATGTTTTAATATCATTACTATTGTGGACGTGGTTTATAAGGAATATTTTTTTTCCCAATCATTCCTTTTCCTCATACTTATCTTAAAATTATAACAAATTTACTAACTTGAATCATAAATATATTTAGAAGTTAATACTCTTAATGAACTTCAATTTGACATTTTTATTATACATACAAAATAAATAAATAATTTTATTTATTTTTTTTAATTAAAGTTGAATTACCTATCGATATTAATTATAAATAAACAGTTATTTAAACTAACTTAACTCCAAAGTAGTTATCTCATATGAATTACAAAATTATAATATAAGATGATAAGTCGTGTAAATAATGGTGTCATTTTAAATACAAAAAATAATATTTTTTTCAAAAAAGTATTTAAAAACTAAAATAATTTTTGTTGTTATTATTATTTAATTTTAAAAATATTTTTCATAACAAGTATCCGTGTAGTGCACGAGCTAAATATATATATATATATATATATATATATATATAACTAATTTTATTTTCTATTCATTTATATGATGATAATCTTATATTGTATTTTATTTTCAAATCAGACTAAACAATATTTAAATATTCATATATTCTCGAGCACGTGAAACAGTTATACCTAATGCGGTTAATCGCTCACCACAATTTTATGGTTTGCATTTACTCTTCATACAATGTAGATGATGTTGCTATTGTACGCATTCCATGCATTTATATATCTTTACAACTTAAATAAATATTCCAATCTCAAATTCATTTAACAAATCCTATAGTTAGTTAATAATTAATTTTAAGTTTCATTTTTTTTTTTCACTTATATTTCATCCCCCGTGAAGTTAATTGTGTTGTTATTATTTTTTTATTTATTAAACAATTAGTATTAATAATTTGTTATAGTTCTATGTATGTTGGCCGACATATAAATAACTAAATTATTTTTATTATCAGTCCATTCATATAGTAAAAAAAAGGCAAAAAAAAAAAGAGAGAAAATGAGTAATCTCAACATTTATGGATACACATATTTAGTCGAAATAACCGTTAGACAAATTGATTTGTTCATATATTTGTAATAAAAATATGACGTAACATTTATGACGTCTCAATTTGAAAGTATAAATATATATAAAAAAACTATTATGTAACATTTACACCTAAATATATAATATTCTCACGGATAATAAGGTGGACTTGAGACTTAGTTTAACTATTAATATATTCTTGTATTGAAATAAAAGTATACTAGTATTGTGTCGGTGTTGTGAAAATATATAAGATCAATTAGCAATACGATTTGTATTATGTTAATCAAATACAATATGTGGGATTCACAAGGCTAAACTATAGAGTCGGATTATTCATTATAGAAGAAACCATGTAACTTAATTCAATAAATAACATGATTATATATATTTAAAAAACGAAAACACATTTTCAATAAAATATATAATATCAGATATTATTTTCTACTAAAACAGTTTATTTATTCCACAAATGTCATTCAAATCAAGTTGTTACCGAATGCAATTCAGTTCGACTCATGAAAACCTAAGCGATATGAGTTTAAATAATTAATCGAATTCGTTTATTAAACAAGCTGAACGTTGAATTTTAAAGTTTAGACCGTAAGTTTTTGAATTTATGATTTGTCAAACTAGTCAAGCCAAGCCAGATAAATTTAACACGAGTCAAAATTTATCTGACATTTTTCTGTTCGTTTATTAAACTTCTCAAACTCATCAAAATCTACTTATTGAACGAGCACAAATTGAGATATAAAACGCTTTTCAAATCTATTCTCCATCGATTTACTTATATATTTATTTATTGTTTTTTTTTTATGTTCAACTTCTGATAAAAAAAATAACGGGTCAACATATGAAACGGACAAAACCCGTATGATTCTCAACAGAGAAAAAGCATTAAAAGCGCTGTTCTTAATGCAACGACTTTTTTTTTCCTCTGCCCCAAAAGGGTCAAAATGGTAAAATCACACTTATATTCCCCTTCTTAAATTATCTACTCCATGAAACGTCTGTTTCCTCGTCGGCCGATGCCTTTTGCCTCTCCTTCCTTTTACCGCAGGTAATTTTTTTTCGCCCGATTAATTAAAAATCAAGCCAGAAAAAGAAAAAAGTTAAATTAAGAGTAATATTTACTAATACATTATTATTAAAATTAGGAAGTTGTGATTTGCATTAATATATCATTTTCCTCCCAAGAATTTTATCATTTTTTTAATGAATTTTATTCACATTATCTTAATAGTTACGCTATATAATTATCACCTCATAACAAAAATAATAGGAACATACTATGTTATTTTCATTTTATTTTATTTTTTGGAAAATTTATCTTCTCTTTTTGGAAATTTTATCCGAATAACTCCACCATTAAAATACAGGAGCACATAAATAAATTAGTAATGAAAATTACAAAATAAAATTCAATTTGACATCTATTTTACTTATATATACATTTATATAAGAAAAGCAAACTGTTCTTATAAATATAAATTAACTAAAATAGTAATGACGATTAACAAATATTTAAAAATTTACAATACAAACGTTTACTTTTATTTATTTTTAATTATAATTATGTAATACACAAATATTGAACTTTTTTACTAGTTAGTCCTAATCTAATAACCGAGGAAAAGGAATAAAAGGGTAGCTCCAGAATCTGGTTTGTCTGTAGAGAGAGAAAAACACATAACGATTATCAAAAGAATCAAAACAGAGACATCAAATTACAAAAATAGAAAAAATAAATAATAAAACATAAAGATCACGCATATATACACGCACATATACGTACACGCACGGTCTATCTGTGTATTGCTATCTACGGATTCCTTCGCCTTCTCGTTTTCGATCTCCATTGGAGAAAGTTCCCCTTTCTGAAGAAGCTTTTCAATTCCTTTCTTCGCGGTGGGATTTGTTTCGATACATACACGCATTGGGCAGATCAGTGTTTTGGGATTCATCGATCGCGATCGAGCTGAAAATCGGCTCAAGGGGTTTTTGTAAGATTTTGATTCATTCTTTT